TATAGGTTTCTTTGAGAAAGAAAATCATAGCATGCTACGGTCTAAAAAAAAAAATTACAGATTTCCTCTGTTGGGATGGTTAAGAGCATGGACTCTGAACTCAGAGGGACATGAGTTCAAAGCCCACCTTTGCATCTCCTAATCCTGCAGTGCTCGGTACGTAGCAAGTTAGTATTTAGTGGAATGTGAATCTGAGATGCACAGATCCATGGCTTCTCTCAGCCTCTCTGCTCCCAGCCCGGCCCCACCGGGTCTCAGACCTGCACATCCCAATCCCACCGGGAAAATGTGTTAACGAAGATGAAAACACATCCCTGATCTGTGTCCTTGGGCCTCTAAAACTGCAACAACTCTCTCTCTGTAAGTTTCTCTCCAAGCCCAAAATGCAGGAGGAAAGTTCACCACTGATCTCACAAGGCAGAGGGCTGAGCTAGCCAGTCTCCGAAGCCCCTCCTGCAACTCAGGGCGGAAGGTGGAAGGAGGGGCAAGGTAGGCCCCGCCCCAGAGAATAATCACTCTACTTCTGCAAGGCAGAGGTGCTAGTCTAGAGGGCAACAAAGAGTAACCCAGGAGAGGCAGAATTTCATATTACTGAATTATAATAGCTTTTACTTTTTAATCCTAGAGATAGGGGGATGGGCTAGGTGTGGATTTCTCCGTTTGTTGGATGACTGAACAATGCTGGCCGTGGGAGGGGAGGAACATTTTCACTGACTCCAGATCATTCCAAAAGGCTTGGTTGCAGCAGAGGGATTAAAAAAGGGTTCATGGAAAGAAGTCTCCTTCATCTGAGGTTCTTTGTAAACCACGAGAGGAGTGAAGCATAGAAATTGGGGGGAAGGAAGGTGCAAGGGAATTGTATGGTGTTCCAGGGGAAAGAAACAAAAAGGAAACTCAGTTTTCAAAGAGCTAAGGAGCATCTTTATGCTCAAGTGATCCTCTGCGGTCACATGAGAGAGCCCTTTGCAGCACACCGAAATCGGTTTAATCTTCAAATCCCTGTGAACAGAGGAAACGGCACGGGACAAAAATGAGGGGCCCAGTTTCAAGAATTTCTCCTTAGAAATCTGGGAGAAAGGAGAGCCTTTAATTAGGGTTCACTGTGCTCCTGCTCTGGGAGGTGATGTCATTGCCTGGAACAAGGCAGCACTCAGTGCCAGGAATCTGAACTCACCGCTCTTTAACAATTCAATAGGGTCTTGCGTGGGAATTCCTCATCTGGGGGCTTAGTGACCAACAAATCTAGTTTGTAGGTACCACTGTTTGGCTAAGGGAAGAAAGAAAAATTGAAGTAACTTTTTAAATGAGTCACATGAAAGAATGTAAGACTGCAGTCCTCCCATTAGAATCATGTGGGTGGGACCTTAATCTGTCAATTTTAATAATCTGTTTTAATAATCCCTGCTCTCCTCCCCACCGTTTTCCAGCTAAGGAAAGTGAATCTCAGAAGGGAAAGTCACAAAGCCGGCTATTCCAGTGCCGGGACTAGGGCCTCGTTGCCCAAACCCCATTTCGGTGCCTTTTCTTCTGTACCATCCAGTGCCTAGTGTCCTATCAATTTCCAGGTGGTAACAGGGTGGACACTCATAACCTCATCCACCTGGATGTCACCTGAGTCACTCCCAGGAACCCAGGGATACCCGTTCACATCATGTGAGCTTCCAAACTACACAGACCCTCAGGGGGAAAAAAATGTCCTGTTGGAGACTATTGAGTCACCGCACAGAAAGACACTGTGGCGCAACTGGCCAAACCGGTCCTGGGTGGGAGAACTCGTCACAGTGCTGCCAGAGTCACGCTGCCATCGATACTGGGCACCAGGAGCTCATTCCCAAACCTCGATTTAACTAATAGTTTTAACACCTTCACTAGTCAAATTTTTTCTATAATTAAACTAAACGATTAGAATTTCACAACCTTTCCTTTCTTCTATTTATGCTAAACAAGTAGAAGTAAAATGTAGGTCAGCAACAGAAGAAAAGGTAGAAATATGCTCTGGGAAAAGCTGTCTACCTTGTCATCAGCTCTTGCTTATTCACATGTGGTAAGATGACCAACACTGAACTGCTATTGTTTGTTTGTTTGTTTTACTAAATGCACCAGAACTTATATGTCCAAACACAGGCTACCCTTCAACAAAGCCATTTTGGGAAGACATACGGTTTTCTCGAATGATCCTGCTGGGGCTCAAAGTGTATTTGTAGTGTCTCTTCTGACACTGTCTTCTTCAAAGCTGGTCTTGCGCAAAAGAAATCTCATTTGTAACCCTAGAGTGGTATTCTCCAAGTTGTCGTATGTATTTACATGTGGGCCCAAGTGATTTCCGGTGTTTTTTTAAAACGCCTTCGAAGATCAAGATTTACAGCCATTGAGGGCATTCAAAAGGATGTCACAGTAACGCTCTTTAACAGTGCCAACCCGAGTGACCTCTGGTCTGCTGCCAAAGGCCTGGCCGGAGGAGCCAGTGGGTGTGGGAGGGGATCCTGGCCCCATTTCTATCAGTCGTACCATGTCAGCCTCTATCATGTCACTGCTTTGCCCAACGCTGAAAGTCAACGAAGATATAAACTGCACATTCGGTTGTCTAAGTGAGTGTGGAATTTCTGTCCTCTGGCCACGTAAACCAAAACATCATGGAATGGGGCCTCAGGCCTGAAGCCTACAAAAGATTTCTGTGTAGATGATACCAATAGGAACTCAAAGCAAATGTAACTGCTCCTGAGAAGAAGTCCATCATACGAAAATCATAAACATTTCCATTGTGAGAGGGATGCCTTTACTTCTTGCTTTGTTGAAAACCTTTTTCTCAACCACATGATTTTGTTTTTTGCAGTCTGCTTATTATAAAATCAGTATTTCAAAGAAATACCCTAGGCTCTGTGAGTTGGGGGAGGGAGATCTTCTTGGCCTATGAAATGCTATGGATTTAACTTTTAGAGTTTTTTTTTTTAAGCCTTTCCAGTATTTTGGGAGGAAATTATATGGAATTATATTTTATTACTTATTGGTTATTCAAACAAATTTTGCTACAACAAGCAAACACTGCCATTTGTCAAGCATATGTGAGCTTAAATTCTCAGCCTGAAACAACACACATGCGCAAACACGTATTTATTTAAAGGAAAGTACCTATAGTAAATGGGTGAATTCGTCTTAACTGGGCTGAAAGATCAAGTCAGCTCAAATTAACTGCCTCGCTGGTTTACCGCAGAGCCTCCATCATTCAATCTGTCCATTTCGTTTTAGGCATTTTCTTTAAAAGGTCCCTATTGACACTAACAGTTAATACATATACCCACTGGCACTCACTATCACAGATTGCACGATAATGAAAATTAGAGCTACGAAGATCACAGCTCACGTTTACAGCCTGCTGCACACTGACGAGGCGCTTCCAGTGACAGGATCCCAGTGACTGCAGCAGGCCCGCCTCTCACTCCTCACACTGCCGAGTGGTTACTGGTTCCCCCGCCTCCCTTCCCACAGCACTGGATTGTCACATGTCACACCCAGCATGATACCCGGGACAACCGAGACAAGTGGAAAAGTTTGTTTTGTTTTGTTCCGAGTGAAGGAACTGAGGCCCAGAGAGGTGAGATGCTTTGCTAGGGACTCTAACCCCGGCCCGCTGGCCCATCGCACAGACTGCCCTTTATCTGCCATTTCTTTACCTAGCCTGGGGTGGGGAGAGGGGCCTGAAGAGAAAGTGCGGGGCTTGGCTGAGGAACTTTAAATGGAGGCAGAGTGGACCCTAGAAGACGATCTTCCCTTACACTTCTGTGCAGGACCTGACCTCCCACCTAGTGCAGGGCCTCCTTCCTTCCCACGGATGCTGTGAGTCACTGGAACATTCTCCAGGCTGCTCTGGCACTCTGTTGCTGCTTGCCCATTTAGGTCACCTTTCTTGGGCCTAAAGCCAATTTCATTTACACTGTTTTATACATGAGTGAAACAAGACACTGAGCAATTCATCTCCTTCTATAAGTCATGCCCACGAACTCCCATCCAGCTTCCTTTCTCGCCCAACCTTCCCCCAGCTCGCAGACAATAAAGCATTGAAAGGCGTTGTTTACATTGACCTTTTCATTAGTTTGAAGACAAAGTTTTGTAATGCCTTCTGTAGATGGTACGTAACTGAAGTAGAAAACAAACTTATGTTTCATCTGGAACCTTCTCTTTAGAACAAAATAAGGATCAAGAATCAGAAGGTATAGAACACAGAAGAGCGGGCATAGCAGAAAAGTTTGGAGTTTTCATAAACTCAGAGAAACTCTTGGCGAGAAAGTAAATCTGAGTATCAGCAAGTCTCACTTTTTTACCCAAACCAGTGCAATGGTGGACGTCTGCCCTCAGGGCACACCTTGCTGGAGATTGTACCGTTGCCCTTCTTAACTACACTGGCACCAGAGAGAAATAGAAAAAGCTTAAGCCGTCCCGATAAGAAAAAAATAGCTCAAGGTCACAGTGGCTATACCCCAGGGAGTGAAGTTCAGACACCTGCAGCCCTGCTTCCTGCCCCCTCCCTCAACCAGGTTATGGCTGGAAGGAGTCCTGGGGTCAGGAGGCATGCCCAGTCCTTTACCTACGAAGATGTTAGCTCTGAGCACTTTCCTCCCTCTGAAGGAAGGCAGCTGTTACAGAGGAATCTGGGAACATCTGTGCAGGTGGAAAAGGATTCCTGGCCCAGTCATGTCAGCCCCAAGTGCTAAAATGGAGTCTGGAGGGTTTGGGAGGGACGAGTAGCTTGGAACATTCTGCAGAAGGCCAGGAGGAACAGGTACACTCCTTTTTCTCCTTTACCCCACAAAAGACGGTTCAGCGGCATATAACTGAACGTGTGTGACTTCTAAAGAAAGATAATAGGTTCATTTCCTTTGATTCTGGCTCAAGTTAACAG